ATTTTTTTTGCCTACAGGCCCTGAAACCAAATATTCAATAAACAATCTGAACACATACATTTAGAATCTGTGTATACTTGTGTCACATTTCTTACATATAAGCCATTAATTGCCTTTGCCCACAATGTGTGAAGCTATACTATCAGGAAAAAAAGGTAACAACATTTTCAGTGAAACTAGCAGAGGTGGCATGTGATTTTCTTGTGCAAAAGTACAATGGCGGCAAACGTCAGCTTTTGTAAAAGCACTTGTTTCACAAATCTTTGACTATTGCTTGCTTGATCACCAACACTCTCCGGGATCCAAAGCTGTACGTTTCGCTGCACTTGCCTTACCCTTCGATGCGGTGGCGACGTCTTGCAAGTCGGCTGCGGCCAGCGGTGAAAACAAGGCCGAACATGAAGCGTTCCCCGCTACGTTACCATACAATCACATAGTACACGGCATAAATCTAGTTTTTAATTTTTTTGGAACTACATGTCCACAGTGGTACCGGCCGTGCGTACGTTTCAGACGTGAATATTTGTCTCCCACCAGCCCCAAATCAGTGAGACAATCACATGGAAAAATGTGGGGGGGGGGCACCGAAAAATGGTTGGGGTTGGAAAAAAAAATTGAGCCGGAGGAAGGGCGATGGGAAAAATTTTTTCCGGACCCTTTTTGTACAAGCCCTCCCCCCGGTAAATATTGTACAGTCCCTATGATTCTCTACAGATGTGCGGCACGGACAATGCTGCCCCCGCGCTTCGGTCAAAAGTTCACCCTGCAGCTGTTCTGATGCAATACACACTACGACCCGTGCGCTCTCAAAGTAACCACGACATCCGTTTCCCTGTTACTGTTGATTACTTTAGATAAAATAAAATAAAATAAAACATAACATCCTGCTCAGTTTATTTCTAGATCTCTTGCCGTGTTTAACTCCTAGCCTGTGTTACACAAGAGGTTAATGACCCCCACCCACTTCGGGGCGGCCGGCCGCCAGGAGCGCGATTTATTATTATTAGTCAGGCTATGTTATCTCCATGCTGTAATCTCCAAGCAGATCTTTCGGTTGGGTGGCAAAAGACAGTATACATTGGCCATCCTGTATCCATTGGCCGTCCTGTATCCATTAGACACTCCTCTGGCCAATGGATACTGTCTTGCCACCGAAAAATCTGCTTGGAGATTACCATGCTGAACAGGCCTATTATATAAAGGTTTGTGCACACGCACGTGCCAAAGTAGTGGGTGCAATTCTGATGCATTCCGCCAGGAGGCGCAGCTGCTTGGAAGTCTTGCTGTTCGTGAGGCTGTGGATGGGGGGAGTTCGGTAGCCTGACGTCCTAGACAGGCAAGGTAGACTGGTAAGGTAGCCTGGTAAGGTAGACAGCCCAGGTTTTTCCGTAAACCCTTCCAAACTTTCCATTTCAGTCTGGTTAATGGTTTCCTACTACCTAAATTCTGTTGTCTACTAAGTGGCTTTTGAAATGCACATACTGTTTGTTTAACAGAGTGTTTTGTGTCCTTGGTAACAATTTGTCCAACTTGTTTGTTCTCACTTAGAGTGAAAGGCTATTGAGAATCTGGTCAAGCATGGAGTGTGGACATTCAATGCCCACTAATTGGTGAATAGGACTTGTGTTGTACCAATGAGCCTAAAAAAGTACTCTTTAACGCACCACGATTGTGCTAATGTGATACATATATGTAACAGTTATGTGTGACAAAAATATGACTATGCTAATATATTAAATGGTTACGTATTATACTCATAGGTATCAGTAACCTACGTGCATCAAATTACAAGGCAAACACAGTGCACATGTAATGTTAAATGGTCCCAACAATAAAGTGTGAGCATAACTCAGCCATAACTTCATTATACCAGTAGAAGTTGCTGCCTGCTGGAAGCCTCACATTAACCAATGGGACTGATCCTGTATGAGATAGAACACGGTGAAGATGATGATGATGGGGGAAAGTGCTGCACAAGGGTCTCAGTTGAGGTAAGTCCCGTCCCCCCCTTTATAGGGAGAAAACATCATTAGGTAGTTCAAATGCCAATACAGCCTGCATTTATGCGACAAAATCTACATACACATGTAGTATGATGTACGTCAGTTTAATGGATTTGTCAATTGCATTGAATCTAGCAAGATAACAAACTTCCATACACATATACGTAAAATTTTGTTTCAGACAATCTGTGCTAATCTATTGAAGTGCTTGGTGGTGTTCTATGGAGTTTTCTACATTGCAGCCAGTATCTGTCATGGAGCATTCAGGTGACAAATGTTCATTGATATTAATCAATTCATTACATGTAGTTCACACTAAGTTAACAAGTTGACACTGACAGGTGGTAAAAGTCATTGTTCTAAAACTGATTGTTAATTCACAAACTTAATGAGTCATGAATTTACAATTGTGTGAATTGACATGCAAGGATGTTAATGTGCACATGTTGCTTTATTTCAGGCTGGGAACTTTGCAAGCATTTGATCCCAGGATACCATTTGACTTCCAGGAGCCATTTTCCTGGCAAAGTAGCCAATATCTGGGTAGGTATCTAGGATTAACATCATGATTTCTGATAGACGGTAATAACCTGTGTCAAGAATCAGATTTTTTTTTCTAAATGCAGCTAAGTTCTGACTGTGACTATGTTCCTCTGGTATTATTATAAGAATTTAAAAAACACTGTTGACTATGTTCCCCTTGTTTACAATATGTAAATTTCAGCTAGACTCGTGTCCATGGAGTCTACGTACTTTGTGTGTACCTGGGCCTTTGCAGCTATTGTACAACACTGTGTGTGGGACTATGCCATCACGATCACCTTGGTGCATGTCAGCATATGCTGTGCCGTTATGCAAGGCTTTCCTCTGACCTGGCAGTGGTGGGTTACACTTGGTAAGTTTACTAGTATTTCTCAGGATGGAAAATCAGGTAAAAACTTTGTTGATGAAATTCCACTTAGATGAGACGACAAATGTGCAATTTTAAAAATTTTACATTGTATCAGTGTTACAGTCATTCAATACATAATGCACATTATGGCCTTCCCACATGAACATAACTCTTACCTGCTCCTTTTTTGTGTTCACTTAATGATTGATTTTCTTATCTTTGTACCCCTGATCCTATTTTGTTTATGTACTTCTTACATTGTTTTATCAAATGGTGTTGTATAAGCCCACACGGGCTGGGCATTTGAAGCGCATGACATGGAAATAAAGCCTTTCATTCACTCATTGTATGTGTATTGGAAATACCCTACGAGGTTAGCGTGTACTGTGCATTCTATTGCAATTCTCATGTACTTATTTCTCCCCAGGTTGTGGGGTATTCTTCATGATAGTTGTCGGGGAGATGGTCCTGTGCTGTGTCAGGTGCAAGGGTCAGGGGGCAAAGGTCGCACCAAGCAGAAGATCAGGAGTCACATGAGAAAGGCGACCCTCGTTACCTTCATTGTTCTACCATGCAGTGTGTTGGCAGCAGCATTTGTGGATGAGTTTCCTCTGACTAGAGTCAAATAAAAATCCCTAAGTTACTCCTTCCACAAAATGTTTTGACATGAGCTGTCAAATTGTTGCTACATAATGCCAGTATGTTGTCTGTTAATCCAAAGTGCAATATTAGCTGAGCTGGCCAAAATACTAAGTTGTCAGTGTCTAAAACCAGTCAATATACAATTGTATCTGCATATTTTCTCTGTTGCAATTTTCTGTATGTTGTCCAAAAAGAGATCTGTCTTCCCGCCAAGAATTTTCCTTCTCGTAAGTACTTTGACAGAAGTGATTCCATTTATATACATTGTATAGATAAAGCTGTCTCTCTGATCTAAGAATAGCTTCCTGGACTGCAATAATCTAGAGAAAAGGAAATGTACAAAAAAACATTCCAGTTCATAGTAATGCCAGGTAAACTTAATTTCTGCTTGGTGCTAACATAAGCTTTTGTATTTTATATGAATGCCTTGTACACCACTGGGTATGCAATTTTTAAAAACCTGATACCTCAATAAATTTGTAGGTTAATATGACCTTTTAAATGGTATGTATATGTTTACTATCCAGGAATAACAAAGTTGAATTAAACATAGCTGTCTGGATATTTGGAACGTGACATTCCAGAATTAAAGTGACCAGTATTTTGCCATGATGAAGACCCACTTCAAAGGGAATGTCAAAACATTGTGTGCAGACTTGTTGGTAGTACATGTACATTGTACATGTCGATCTAAATGGCTATCAGCCTTGTATGCTCATTATGCTGACTTATATTGTGCCACTAGTTGACACACCTGTAGTAAATAAGGATCACTGCTGCAATGTTGTAATGCATAGTTAACATACTATAGTTAAGTCATAATCAAAATTTCACAGTTTTGTTTATTTCAATGTTTTCTTGTCAACTGTACATGCATCATGTAGTGCCCTGCTTAGTGAGATGGAATTACATGTGTTTTGTAACAAAGATGGTACATTTAGTCAGCTGGTCAGAGAGCTAACCTATTCTTGCTTGAAAAGCTAAGTCTCAGACTCTGTATATGTTGCCAATAATCCAAAGCTATTTTGATTTTATTTACCTGCGTGTGTTGCACTAAGGAATCATAGTCAGACTCCATGATAAAGTACATGCACTCGTACATTCACAGTTTGTGGCACATTGTAATTTTATGAGATTTTAAAAGCTTCAATCACAAATACTTTTTAGCATGCTGATGTACCTTTGTTGTATAGGGTTAAGTAAAGTGTGAAACCTGAAAACTACTGGGTAGTTGCATTAATTTTCTTCAAAGTTGGTATAAAGAGTATGTAGTAAATTTAAAAAAAATAACTGTGAGGTTTTTAATAATAATTTATGATCAAGGAAGTTCATCTTGTTCTTTTAACTATATGTCATTCAGGTTAGCCACATTAGACTTGAAAGCTGGGCGCCCCGACCCGCGATTATGTGGGGAGATGTCTCCATAAAGAAGGTGCTTAGGACGTGAATGCTCTATACCGGGTCTCGCCAGAGGCCGGCATGGCGCAATGAGGGCTGCAGTTGGGGTTTTCCTGGGAGTGGTGTGACAGGAAGTTATTGATCAGTGTCATCAGGAGGGGAACATCGAACAATCTTTGTTCTCTTACCAAGCTCTTTTCGTGGCTGGTAGCTACCACAATACTGTAGTTGGGCTGCCCTGGCTGTTGAACAGTCAAACCAATAAATAAAATAAATCATTCAGGTTTCACACTTAACTAACAAAATCTGAAAATCTTAGCTATGATAATATACCAGTACTAAATAAAAACATATGAAAGAGGCAGAAATGATTTGAAAATAAAGTCACACCTGAAGTTCATCTAAAACACTGTATACCTGTGTACATGTGTAGTTGCTCATGACTTAGTTGCTCATGACTGAGTTTATTATCTGTTCTAAAACAAAGCCTTGTGCCTTTACAACAACATGGATATTTTTTACTGGACTGGCTTATAACAGGTGAGTTTGCTGTACTAGTTAAAGTAATTAAGGCAGGAAGGATAAATGTTGGGATAGGATCAGCTTTTAAACATGAACAAATCAGTGCTGCTACACTGGGATGGGGGATGTGACACTGTCCAGGGGCTGCCATCGTGATGCCTCCATGGCTTCATACAGCTCCTACAGAGGAACAACACAAGGGTACATCAAGCCTTACTAAGAAATGATGTCCACATAATACACTTCACAACTTAAGTGTACAACGATGCCTCTGCATATTGGAAAGGATTGGGCACAGGCTCAGGGATGCTTGTATTATCTTAATATTGAATACATGTTAGAAACATTGCAAGCATTCCAAAGCTATTCCAATGTTTAGAGGCATTGCCCTATACTTACAGCACTGTAGTTGTGAAGGGTGTTAATTTCTCCTCAAAACCGTTCATGTTTTAGGCCTTCATATGCACTTAACAACTAAAGTGTACATCATAAAAGCATACAGCATAAAATTAATATATACATACCTCACTTCTTTGCATGAACTCCTTGTTCATCTCTTCTATATTAAGTGGTGGGTTTGGGTCTGTAAGAAAGAACATCAAATTAATTCAGACTGGTTCGGTACCTATGACTACACAATGTGTTTATCACTTCAAATACAGGTACTGGAAGTGCTCTAAAAGACTGCTAAAAACACAACAATGCCTTGACATGCTGGCCGCAACAAACAAACAAACCCTCTATCCATGCCTGACCATGCCCTACAACCAACCAACCAATTTGTGAGCAAAGTTATCGCTATCATGGTACTTTATGATTGGTTTGAGGTCATTTGAGATTTAAATATATGTCCACAATTTGTCATTCATTGCTTTCCTTAGTTCTCAAACACTTTTAAATGTGAAATATAGGACATTACATGTGTATCATCCTACAAAAACATGCTTTTGTTCCCATCATGTCAAATTGGTAGGGTCAAAACTACAAAACCAGCCTTGTAAATCAGAAGAAGGGTCACTGGGGCTCTTTGCTGTGTACAAGAAAACAAGAGAAGACAAAGTGTACAGACAGACTATAGTGTGGTCCAATATTGTAGAATCAACTCAGATACTTTAGTCTGAGTGGAGTATAACAATGTTACATCCTTAACTCACGTAGCACTACCTTACTGGCATTGAAATTGCAAAAGTAAGAAAGATATCTTAAGCAAATGAACGTAAAAATTATCAAAGTGTTCACACATGTGCAGAGAACACGGCAGACTTCTCTCACCTTCTACACTGGACTCTGACTGATTGTTTGTAGGCGTGCTGTCATAGCCGTGGTTCTGGGTGAAAATGAAAATATTTCACACTTAAGACTTTGTCAACTGATAGCTACATGTTAACCATTGTGAAGAGTAAAGATAAACCATATGGTGTTTTTTACTTGTACTAAACTGTATTAAGGATCCATAGCATCTGATAGACATTAAGTTGGCGACTTTAAAGTATATCATTCTAAAACAAATTGTTAGCTGCTTGTTGCATAATGCAAGAACATCGCCTGGTTACCAAACCTGTCATAGTTCCCGAGTCCCACATCCTCTCTGAAATTGGAGGGGATGTGGGACTCTGGAGCTACAATGTACATTTGTATAATAGGTTTGGTAACCAGGCTAGCAAGAACAGTTATTTGTACCAGCATAAGGAGTGTGAGCACCTGTGTCTGTGTGTTTGGTGAGTATGATGACGTCCCATACTGGTTGTAGTTGTAGTACTGTGCAGATGACTGTGGGTAGTACTGGTTCCAGTAGTTCTGGTACTGCTGGTAGTACTGACTGTACTGGTCGTACTGCCCGCCTGCACCATGTTGCTGCTGCTGCTGCTGCTGAGTCTTGTCACGACTGCGGAGGGAAAGGGATGCAGTCACAATCCAGTAATGAACAGTCTGGTATTTATTATGTAATAGATCTTGACTAAACTAGAGCACAAAGAAAATCCTTTTAAAAGTTTTACAAATTGAATGAAAAGAAGCCATGATATATAACGTTACCTGTCTTCATCCTCATACATGTCACATGCAAGTTTTGATGGTGCAATTTGTAAATGAACACCCTGTCCTTCGAGCTGCAGCTAGCTATATGTGTCACAATCTGTGCCCCCAGCTAAGTTCCTAATACTGAGATATGCGTCCTGGTTGTGGTTGTAAGGGGATAGGGATCAACAACTGACATACAGTACATGTACAAGGGCTCTTCAGTTTGGAATCTAGCCTCTAGTACCTCTTAACTGACTTATGAAATCAGTCACACAACAACGAGGGCGAGGGTGTCTGAAGATACAAGGAAAGTTGCTACAAGCACAAGATCTACTGCATCTTAATATGTTTATAGAGAATGTGTTTGATGATGATTAAGACTTGTGACTGCCTGGTTTATAAAGTAAATGTAGGTAGCTGATCCTGAAAAAGCGGTGTATCATGCCTGTGAGTTGTTAGGAGCTGAGAGGAAGTTTGTCCCACTTACTTCCTGGGCGTGGCAGGGCTGACTCTGAGGGCCTTCCCCCCCAGCCCCACCGCCCCCTGCATCTCAGTCAGGGCTCTCTTCTGCTCATTCTCATCTGTGAACCGCACAAACCCATAGCCTCTGCAGGGGGAAACAAGTCTTTGGTTACTGCAAATAACTACTCATGATCATATCAGAATTATTAAAATATTTTGCTCATGATCATTTAAAATGATCTTTTTTGTGTGTGTATGGTGATGCAGAACTCAAAAAACTGATCAGTTCTTCTCAACATTTAGCTTCAAGTTTTATCACATGCGATTTCTTCTCCAGAAAAGTTCATCATTTTCCCTACTGACTTTATACAAATCATTTCAAGAATTTAAAGAAAGAAAAAACATTGGAGTTGAATGAAGTTGTGATGCAAAAGAAAAAAATATCTATATAAGCCCAAACCAGTCCCACCTTGAGTTTCCAGCTGCATCCAGTACAACCTTGGCAGCCTTACAGCTGGAGTATCTCCTGCCGAAGAACTCCTGCAGAGAACCATCATCTATCTCTGGTGTCAGGTCACCCACAAAGATGGAGTACTCCGGCCTACAGGGGAACAGAGATACTGGTAAGTTCATGTCAAGAGAGTACGTACTATTCTGTGACTGAAGCTTAACTGATATGACGACTGATATTACTAGCATCCTTGGATTGAGACAGCAATTCATACCATTTACATTGTATATCTTTTTGTCAGTATAGGTACCCGTAGCTATTGTTTCCATACCATCAAACATATTATAATCTGTGACTTTGTCTTTTACAGCCTTTGTAATCACTTAATTAAAGCTTTCGCTTACTTCTTCAAATACTCCCACATACTGTACTGTACAATGTTCAACAATACTAATACTTTACTATGTACTTTTTTTACTATGTACAAAAATGTATCGTGTAAAAACTGGAACAGAAAACCAGGAGCAAACACAGATAAATCTAGGTGAACTTACGTGACAACATTCTCCCGTCCGTAGCTTGCATAGTTCAGCTTGAAGCGTTTAGGCTGTAGGGAATAGACTTTGACATAAGAACCAAACTTGGACACCGAGTCCACCCTGACATGATCCCCCACACCAACACTGGATCCTGTACCTGTTGTACTGGTGTCTGTACTGAAGTCAGAAGTATCTCCATACTGACTGGAGACTGTAGCAGCCATACTGGAGGTAACATCACTCACACATGTACATGTGCTACCAGCCATGATTATTGACTCCCTGATGCCATCATCCTCACCAGCTGCCTTGACACTTTCATGAAAAACTTCAGAGCTGTGCCGCCAATGTTCTCCATTGTGAGGTATATGTGAATATCCAGCATCTGAACATGACTCCACCCAAACATAGTAACCATGATCAACATGGTCCTGTGCCCCCTCTAGCCGAGTTTGGTACATTCTAGTTTTTACAAGATCTCAAAGCACAGATTATTATGATCCCATGTGCACCACTGACACAAGTATGCTATGGTCCGGTATAAGGAAAGTCCACTTCATACACAGTTCAAGATGCTTGCAGTGTTTCTCTCACTTGTCCTACAGGATTTGATGCAATGGCCAAGCTGAATGTTAAGTATTACAAATTACATGTAGACACTACAATCCATGGCTTGACATCCTTTTGTAACAGATGCTAAAATTAACAAAAGGAGTGAACATTTTGAGGTATTGTTCAATATAAAGTATAGTTTCTAAAATAAAATATCTCCTTTAACTTACTGTCTCAAAAAAGGTGCCAAGTTTAAATTGTTCGAAATGATGTTGTTCTCATAACAAAGTCAAGAATAGTGATTTTTTGTAGAAAATTTTCTTTGCAAGAAGTAAATTCTACAATTGGAGTATAAGTTAGGTATAACATCAAAACCCTTGACGTGGCATGTCAAAGAAAAGTATAGGTTCTCACTAGGTCGACTTCTTTTGTCATTGAAATCACAGGATCAGTCACGGAGACTGCACCCTGATATCATGATGACTCCTACTTATAGCCTCTTATTTTGTATAGAAGCACAAGCATGGCAAGAATGTGCCTTACTTCAATGAGAAAGCCAAAGGCAGGAGTGCAAAAGAAATTATGTATTATGTTGCACAACAATGAGTTGTTGGAGCTGATAAATCACAGATCAGTGACAGAAGGCACAGGCAGAGTCACATGACCCTTACTTGCCTACCACTTATACTGTCTTTTTCTTGTTCACAGACTTCTCAAGAAATAAATGGTTACCTCTGACATGACTGAAATTTGTATGAATGCACATGTACTATGATAACGAAGTAATCTTCAAAAATACTAGGATAAAATGAAGATAGACACCATATACCCATCCCAAAAGAGAAAATCACACACAGCTTCATCTTTAATAAAGCCAGCAGCAGCAGAAATTGATGAACAGAGGAGGAAGAACACCCAACACACGTATGTCAAACAGTGCTTACCGTGTAACTACCAGGAAGCTGTTTCCCACTCAGCCTGGTCAGGGCACGTTCTGCCAACTGTTGGTCGCCGAAATCAACAAAGCAGAATCCTGCTGGCCCTCTACATGCATGTGGGGTGGGGGTTTGGGATGGGGAACATGAAAAAATGTTACGCGTACGGAGAAGCTTACCGGGTTTGCACCGGGTAAGGGTTTCCCATTCAGCTTGGTCAGGGCCCGCTCAGCAAGGACCTGGTCACCAAAGTCCACAAAGCAGTAGCCAGCAGGGCCTCTGGAGGAGAGAAGAGGTCAACGGGAAGGCTCCAAGACTCTCGGGTCCTGGTAGCCACTTTGGCTGGCAACATTTTTGCTTGCCACATTTTTTTAGTTTGAAATTTAGTTTTTTCTAGCACTCTATAGGGAGGACCAGTTTACAACATTGACCAAAAGCGTCATGAAAATGGGGGATATTACTCGTGCATGAAATGTTACTGAGGAATGGGCATGCAAAAAGCATAAATGAAGACCTCTTCTCACATGTAGCATGCAATAGTTATGGTTGTCAGAATGCACATTCCCAGCAGAATGGTAAAGCCCTATTATCTACCATTTGTAAATAGCATTGCCATTTGCAGAATTTCATAAGATATCAATTGTAAACATATGTGTAACATGGATTATGACATTCATCTTTCACACTCACAGCTAAAATTATGGATAATACTGTGCCTGAGCAATTCAATCAAAATAAGGTTGCTAACACTGTAAATGTGCAATATAGCAAATGTTAGGCAAATGATGATAATACAAAACTCTTACAAATGCACTACAGTACAATCAATGATGTATGGTCATCATGCAAAGCCAGCAGGTTCTATGGCCTTCAAATCTACAATATGAAGTCCATGCAGCCTATATTTTTTTACAAATTTAAAGTAAACAAGTATAAAATGATATAACTTGCACTACTTCTCCATCTTTACTTTGCTAACAGTTAAATGACCAGTATTATGCAGTGAGTAACACATGCACTACCAACTTGTCCAAGTATAAGCTTGAATTCATGCAAACAAAACACTGATGTTATTTGAAATGAGCAAGGACATTATAGGAACACAAATGGGTGCATTGACAACACAATGTAATACAACAAACAGCAATGATTAGCAATTGTTAATCTATTCATCGCATTAAACATACCGCTAAGATTTTGGATAAATTCAAGTTGCATTGCCAACTGAGACAGTGGATTGTTCACTGTCCCATGTTGCTACTACATGTATAAACCTACATATACTCTAGAGTACATATCTACTTGACTTACTAATACAGTACTGTATACTAGTAACTGTTAATCAGGACAGATCGAAGAGAGAGATTGTAATATGATCTTAAATGTTGGTAGTATTATTGAGACATCTACATCTACATAATACAGGACAAAGTGCCTCACGGCACACTGCGTCCTGGGAAAGGAGGTGCAGCTAGTGTGGCTGGTGGTGGTGCACGAAAAAATATAAGTCAGTGATATATTATATAGTGATATAAGTGATACATAAGTGAAGACATCCATCCTCACCCTGTTTGTCTGTTCTTGATCAGCTTGACAGAGATGATGGGCTCACCCATGGAGGCAAAGGCATTCATGATGAACGGCTCATCCATGTAGGGCTCAAGCTACAGGAGGAAAATGTGAAACATATATTTTACCACCTTTTTACCACTTCCCCATCCCACTGCATGCATAACCTAAGCTTGTTAGGTCACAAAAAGGAACATACATGTTACAACCTACATGGGAACCCGCATGCCCTTTTCCGCAGAACGTAATCGGCTGTTTTAATTCTTCGACGTAGAGCATAATTTCATTTTGTGTAGAGCGTATTCGCCGTTTTAATTCCACGTAATGCTTTGTAGCCACTTGGAATTTATTGTAAAGTGTAATCGAGAGGTTTCCTGAATTGTAGCCAGCTCTCAAAATTTTGCACAGAGAGTTGTCAGGACCCCCCATGCAGGCCCCCTACATGGCCCATCAAATAGGGTTGTCATATTTGGCAAATGAGAACTGCAAATACATTGTACTACTACTACTAGTATAGTCTCTCCTGGAGTCATCATATGAACATGCATAGCAAAGCAGACAATTATTGTCTCTGAAGTTCGTTTTCTCAGTTAGTTATTAAGTACTTAACTGGTGGGCGGACTTAGCAACAAGCTAATAAACCACGTAAGATAATCTACTGGTTTGAATATGAAGAGTGTTGAATATGAACACAGCCCCCCTCCCACTCGAACGTTCTGTTTTTATAACACACAAATATCAATCTCTGTGGAACATCTGGATACCAACAAAAGATCGACCGGTTCTCGAGTAGCCATACTTACATCGCCCATCCACAGACTCGTCATTTTGGCCAGTTTGTCCTCAAATGTGTCCTACAAACGCAAAAGTAACCTCATACACGCGGACAGACTCCTCTAAAAGCATTCAATTGCGCACATAGAATGATGACGTCATTAGAAATAGCTAGTTGGACTAAAAAATCCCTGAAGAAGCTTGACTAAGATATCATATTGATCAACACCAGTCGAAATTTTCTCACAAATATCAAAATGTTATTATCTGGACTTGAAAAGCTCTATGTGGGGAGAAAAATGTCGAAATTGGCAAGCACATATGTTGATGACGTCACGAAGAGAGCACATGTCAGACGACAAAATGGAGGTAGTGGTGGGCTGTTACGAGCAGATGTTGCTGGGCTTCCGACTGGTGGAGGGGGAAGAGGTGCGTTGTACAGACAGCTAGTGGACACAAATTACAACGTGTAGAACCCATAGGATTAACTAGCTAGGCCTCTCTCCCTTCTGGGGGAAATCTTTGTAGTCTGAAAAAGCGCCCTTCCCTGTGCATGTTCAAGCATGCATGCAACATTTGTCTCCAAAAGTTTTGCAGGAATACACAATGATTTTTATAGGAGTTGTTTTGGATTGTTCATAACAAGTACTTCTGGAGAGTAGTAACATGTGTGCACTTACGGACAAATCTACTGTTTCAAGATGATCCAGACATTATGGATGTCGATCACATATAATCTCCAAGCAGATGCTACGGTGGCCAGAGGAGTGTCCATAAGCCACCGAATCATTAATGGACACACCTCTGTGGGATACTGTCTTGGCACCGCAGCATCTGCTTGGAGATTACTAGTAGATCACATAGACAATACAGACAATAACGTTATTAATATTATACTAGGTGGTAATTTTGTCAGTCATATACAAATGCACATATACAAATGTGTTTTTTCTAGGAACACAAGTTGGAGCCAACGTTCACTGATAACTCCCACACCGGCTGTGTGAAGGTGGTGGCCTCAGGAGGACATGTCCTGGCATCAGGCAGTACAGATGAAACTATCCACCTCTACAACATGGAGTCTAGAACAGAGCTGGGGACTCTGTTACAACATGATGGTGGGGACCAAATATTTATCATTCAAACAAGTGTAGTGAATAAAGTGGAAGTAACTGGGTTTTTACAGCATTTTTGACCATTTTTGCAACAAACTCCAATCTATCACTTCTACTTAGACACTATCAAGGTCATAGCATTGCAACCTAGACTTAAGGTGTAGCTGTGGATGTAAGGAAACTTTGGTGTTAAACAAAGGAGCAGGAAAGTTTTATGGGGGGGGGGGCTGTACATGCATCTTACAATCTTAAATGTCAGCTGTGTCCCATTGTTTGCATGGACAACCTGCAACCTCTTACAGAGTAGCTAACCAATATGATAATGTCCAAACTTGAATGTTCCCTCCAGGGTCGATCACCTGCCTGCAGTTCTATGACTCCTCCCACATGCTGAGTGGAGCAGAGGACGGCTCCATGTGTGTGTGGCAGACTGGCACATGGGAGTGCCTCAAGTCCATGAGGGGACACAAGTCAGTAACATGAAGAAACAAAAAATATTTCCTTGACCTGCTTTTGTATTTGTTGAATCATTCCAAAAGTAAAATATTCTCTTGTGCATTGCTTGCAAGACTTAGACTTTGACTATAGATAACTGTAGACAAATACACATGTACATCTCTTTGCAACTGTAGACAAATATATATCATTGCAATTATGGAATTCCTGCCAATAGTAAAATGACTGGCCATATGCATACACCTAACTTTCACGCTCTTCATGTACAAAATGTTCTGTGGGAGTTTGTCAGAAACAAAAGTTACTCAGAATCAGATGCTTTTAATATTTACCTATTAGCATCCAGTAATGACTGTACCGAACCACTAAAAAACTCTGTACATACAAATGTATGTGTTGTTTTCCCTACAGAGGTGGAATTAACAGTTTATCTGTGCATCCATCTGGTAAGCTGGCACTCTCTGTAGGCAAGGACAAAACTATCAGGTGGGAGTTTTCTTTATTGACTAAATGGTTACTAGTATTTACATGTATATTTGTATTTAAGTACAGTATTTTTCATCTTTCATTGTCAAGTAAGATGACATTATTATATTTTTTTCTTGGCTTTCTGCAATTTAGAACTTGGAATTTAGTGACCGGTCGACCAGCATACACAACCAACATCAAACAAGGTATGTCCATACCCATATGTGTATACATGTATTAGTAAATAATTTGTAGATGATTGTTAGCTTGTAGTAAGTATATTCAAGAAGGATAAAACCTCATTTAACCTCCTTGGGCTGCCAAAAGAGTGAATTTCAATATCAAAAGTCTCTATAGCTATAAAATGACTGATTATGAAGCAAGGGGTTAAAGTGTTTGTCCTGTTGTTTATGTATATCCTCTACCAAATTTAAAAGTAATGGCTGGACATCATTTATTTCTGTGTATGTTTGATAATTACATTTGAAGTATATGGGTTATCCAATGAGTCAGAATTGCTGATTTTACTGATCATGTACCTATGACTCTAACAGTTGCAGACCTGATCCACTGGTCACCCAAAGGAGACATGTATGCTGTTGTTACTGGCAACAAGATCAGTGTGTACAGACTTGAGGTAACAGATATCTACTGAGAGAAGCTGCAATACCTGTTAGAACAGATAGATGGTGTTAGTATAGTTCTGCTGGATAGACTTGATTGTGAGCCATTTTATAATCAGTGAGACAAATGTGAGAAGCTCATAACAAATTTCTACACCTTTCAGTAAATCTCGTTTTCTTCAATTTGCTCATTACATATAGCACCTTTTGACATGACAAATTATTGCTGCTACATGTATGAATTTCTTTATTATTACAGACTGCCGGACTCAAATGTAGCTTAGATGCTGGAAGAAAAGTGCTGACAATGGCGTACATTACAGTAAGTTCTTAGAAGCCAAAAAGAATTCTACAATCTTGAAGTCTAAAGATTTGTTCTTATCACTAGCTGTCCTCAGTAGCAATTACTACCTGATCTTACTTGCAGCTAATACTGTATAGTCTATCTACATGTATATCTGTGGTAATCACTCGAGATCTGTATTTGCAATCAGATACAGATTCATGTACAGATACAGATTCATGTACAGATGCAGATTCATGTACAGATACACAGATACAGATTTTCCGAGTTTGATGACCGTGTCAGTCCCTACACCTGTCCTGAGTGAGGAGGGTTGACATGCTGGCCTTTGCATGGATTTACTGTTAAGTACATGTAACGTTACATGTATTCCCTACCAGCAGATAAGTCAAATTGGCAGACCTCAGCTGCATGGGAATAGGAAAAGCTGAAAAACTATCAAACTTGCAGACAGAGTACCTGGAACTTTGACACATCGTTTGTCATCACATCCCTAATCACAGTTATGAGTGCAATCTAATGCTGAAAAGTCCCAAAGGTCCAATGCTAAGTATATTAATGTTCAAGGTTAATCACTCATTCTGGTGATTCTTATTGGTATGGGAAATAACTTAAAAGAGATGGATGTATTGTAATAAACTTCTTCTTTGCCCTATTTGTTACAGAACACAGTTTTAGCAGTGGCTGGAGAAGACAAAAATATTCAGCTCCTGAATGTTGAGACTGGAACATGTGCATGTGACTTCCCAGCTCATGATAACAGGTGGGCTGTCTGTCATCCCAATATTAATAATATATAATGTTATGTAGTTTCCATTTTTTTTCCATTCTGTCATATAGGAGCTTTGGATGGTGAAACTTTTTGACTTGATGTGAGAGCAAATATTGTGATCAGAAGTTTAAATAAGAGCCTAATGTACACATCTGATTCTGGCAAAGTTAAATCAATCTATCAGCAGATTGTTACCTCAGTAGCTTGTGTTATGTACATGTATTCACATTCAAACAGATATCACATTTCGGTTTGCATTCTCCTGTCCATGGCAGATAATACTCAAGAACTTTACTGATGAAGTTGCTCAGTCCAATGTCATTTGTCATTACTTAGTACAATGTATGTTATAATCTGGGAACAATGAATCTGTCCCTTACTTGTTTCTTGGTGTCCAGTGGTGTATATTATCAATGTCTAATCTCTCCACTCTCTAGAATCAAGAGTCTGGTATGTGTTAGGGATCACAGGAGTGATGCTAGAGAAACCGATCTGTTGATGGTCAGCATATCTAGTGATGGTTACATAAAAGTCTGGGCCTTCAGTACAGATCAGGTGGGTATATAGTTCTCACAGTGTAACTTGGTTTCTAATGTGTTGTTTATGATATTTGGTAGATTTCATTTGGTTGTAAATGACTCTGCCTGTCCCCGAGGAGTGTAAGATGATAAGATAATCTGTCACAAGTATGTTTTCATCTTCATCATTCTGTAGGCACCAAAGTGCTCTGAATTGTTCCATAATTCTTAACTTGTAGTTGGTAAGGCCTCCTCTTCATGATCAGTCATTTGAATGGCTTGAACTGCATAATAGTATCTAGAATATATAGAAGCTCCTCTGTTCTTTTGTATATGACTTCTTTTATGGTACACCAGCTGGCAGTGCTCTTAAGATGTCAGGGTTTACAATGTAAGTTATGCATATCAAACAAAGTAGGCCACCTCAAATTGGTTTAATGCAAAATGTCTGACAAAGGATATTACATTCATGTACATGTCACATTGTCATGAATAAAATGGCCAGGATCAGAGTTTAAGGTCAGGCATCAGTAGTATTGTCTTAAGTAGGTCACATTGTCCTTGAAGGTGGAAAATTGCTAAACTTAATAGTTTACTGAACTTAAGGGGTGAACAAGGTACACGTGTGTTCATCATTTTTCTGATGTTTTTCTTGTGCTGAACATATATGAGAGAATTAGACAAAGGAAAATTGGGAAGCAGATTTAATGAGGGCTTCAGTTTCTCCATAAATTGGCTACTAAAGGAAGGTTTTCACAGACCAACAAATAACCACTGATGTAATAGAACTGAACAAAATACCAATAAATTATATAAACCCTGGTGAGTTTGTGTATAAGCATTGAGTGCTGGCGAGTGTTGAAATTTGCATGGCAGTATATTGGCAATTTTGGTGTTTTGCTCCCAGAAGACCAATCCAACATGTTCTAATGGGCTTAATCAGTGCATCAGGATGATGTTCTGCCGGGTGCCTGGTGATCTGTGGTGGTTTGAGGCATGGCTTCATGTGTGGAGATGACCATAAAACTAGAGCTCTGTACCAGAAACGATGCTGGCATCCTCCCAGATAGTTGAGCTGTCTCATGTGTTGGTACATCCATTGGGCTAGAGCTGGTGATGAGAAAAATGAAATGTTCCTGTGCTGGTTGGAATACCAGTAGCATTTGAAAGATTTGAAAATGGAGCCAGAAATGATACTGACATGTTCCCAGCTAATCTGATAGTCAGTGTATCACAGTCGTTATCATCTTAACATGGCCCAGTTATCTACACTCATGTGTTGGTACATCCTTTGGGCTAGCTGGTGATCATGAGAAAACTGAAAATGTTTCCATGGCAGTTTTGTAGAGAACCATCAATAAGAGTTACATTTGACATTAGTAGAAGTACTGGGATGTTTTAGTTCCCGGAGACCTATCAAGTGCACTGGCGAGCCGGTCCATCCATCGCATGGTGATCTGTGCTGTTAGGAATTAGATTTGAAATCTGAAGATGACCAAGATAATGGAGCCATAAGTGATGCTGGCAATGGTCCCAGCTAATCTGACAGTCAGTGTATGACAGTCGTTATCATCGCAGCATGGCTGGCCCAGTATCTGCACTCATATTGACAGTCCCTTGGAGGTGATCTATCTTCTATGCAGTCATAATCAACCCTGATAAACTTTTATGACTAAAGACAGGAAAGTGTCAAAGTTGCTTTCCATCAAAACCACAAAATGTTTGGCATTCATGGTTTAGTTAACATCTTCTGCAGACCAATAGATAGGAGCAAATTGAAGTTACCAAAGAGTGATGATCAACTGCCATCCTTATGAGCAGTCACTTCAATAAAAATGCCAAAGGGTCTTTTCTTCACTTGGCAGAGAAGCTAAGTATCATGTCACAACATGATGAGACGTGGCATTTATGGTAATGTGGCATTTCTCTGAGCATAAGGTTCTAATCATTGTGGTCTTTGGGTGTTACTGTCAATGATGTCGGCTGTTACTCAGTGTTGTTATGAGTTTGCCTTGATGACAAGTAAAAGGTTAATCATATTTTTATGATGATGACACAAAATCAAGTTATACCCTTAACTCAGCACTGGTAAGGGTGTTCATACTGGAGGCCATATGAGAACAGTGGCTGAAGATGAGTGTAGAGAGTTCTAGATTCATTTCAAGACTTCAGAGCTGTCCCAATATTTGAACACTTATTACTTGCAGACAGTATTAGAATGTCCTGTTAATTCACTCATAGTATACCTTGTTTGAATTTAGTAGTCCTGCCCAACATGACTTCATGGCAGGAGGTATAATATGGCATATATTGTAGTTGGCATCTTGTTTTGCAGGGATTGTGTTAACAAAGTTCTCATCTGTATTGCCTAGCTGGAGAAAACACCTACCCTTGTTGCACAGCACAATACCACTGCACGACTGACAGCTTTGGCTATTGTAACTGCTCAATCTACTGAACCACAACGTTCCACAACAAAAACAGCACAGGAGAAAAGAAAACTCACGGAGCAAAAAGGTCAGTTGAAGTTGTCTATGTGTGGTAGATACCTATATTTGGATCAATATTGTCTGTGAATTATTATACTATAATGGTGGTACGAGGGGTGATCCAAAAGTTCTCGGCCTCACCTAGAAAATAGAGGTCAAACGCGTATTCTTTGGTATAGCTGTATACTATGACGTCTTACATCAGTGCACAGATAAATGCAAATTTTTATATTCATTAATTAACACGTGACGCCCCGTGAAAATGGGGTGGGTGAGGGCAAAATCACAAAATGGCCGCAACAGAAGCGTGTGCTGTGATCAAGTATATCGATAAAAAGCTATGCCTCCTCAGGAAATCCATGAAGTCATGACCAAGACACTTGGGCCTTGTACCTGTTTCCTAAACTGGAGTTCCACTTACGTGGTCAACGTTTTCATGGTGATGATAGCGTCATTGATATGGTTTAGGTATTTTTAAGGGCTTCAGACGAAATATTCTTCCACAAGGGAAAGGAAAGCTGGAACATCGCTGGACCAAGTGCATTGAAGTTAGAGGAGACTATGTTAAAAAATACTGTAAGAAAAATTTTTCTGCTATCACGTTTTTTGGGAGAGGCCGAGAACTTTTGGATCACCCCTCGTACATGACTTGGGCGTTACATTCTAGATACTCTTTGCCCCCTTACATGTAATATTGAAAGGCAGAACTTTGCTTTAAACCCAAGACTTGCACTTGCAAATTTGTACAAATTCATGTCTTTTCCCAACACAGAAGCAGAGCAGACAGCAGAGAAGAGAAAAAATGTCAAGGAGAAAAAAGGAGGAAAGAAGAAACTTAAAGTCAAGAACTAGTAAAACAAACATTTATGACTCGTTCCTGTTCCTGTTGGTTCCTTTAGGTTCTGTTTTTATTTTACAAAATTAATGTTGTTTAAACAAATTATTAGTAACTTTATGCTTTTCCCTTAATGCTTTTCCTCTCAAGAAAATACACAATAGTTTGCTGTGCTTGCACATTGTTAATCATATTGTCAAAAATTAATTACCCTGTAGTGTAATTGTCAAGGTGAAAGAATTGTACAAAATATAATCATTATCATGAGCAAGTACACATATCTTCTACATAGATATTGGCCTTCACTGTATGTGAGCTGATCCATCTTCAATATGTATTGAAAGACACATAAAATAATATAGACATTTTGTCTGGTTTATGTTGTCCCTGTCTCATAAGATAACTATCAAACTCAGGCCATGAAAGTATACGTTCTTGGCTCTCAGACATTTTGAAGGTAAAAATTCAGTGAGAGGCCAACACAATGTACGTGCTTCGTGCTACCAACTGTGTTGTCTTATAGCTCGCAATGCAGCCCACCATGTTCAGACAATGTGAAACAATTTAGATGCATGTTGCTTTCTTTGAGTCAAGGCTGCGTGATGGACATCTCCTCTTCCCATTCTGACAGGCCCATCTTTCCAAGGCATGGTCTCCAAAAGCAATAATCCTTATCATTACAATCAACAGGCTTTTACAAGTATTCAGCAGTCGGCCTGTGGACTAGTCTCAAGATAGTCATGAGTGGATTCTTTATTAGCTCAGCCAACCATTATGAAATTTCAAGGGGATTCTGTCTTTATTTGTGTCAGAAAATATTCTGCTATCACAACAGTAGTTTAGCCTGGGGAAAAGAGTGCTTTACTACTCTCATTGATTATCTTCACAGGTCTGTCTTTGGTACAGCTTCCTGCTCCCGACTCCTTTCTGTTGTTAGATAATTGGTATTTTACTGTGCTATTTATATAATGTGAACCATATTTTTTCCCATTACAATTTGGTTAACCTCTATTTGTGGACAGTCTTCTGCCAATGATGAACACAAGAAGAAGAGAAGACACAAGGGATTGGAGAAAATTACTGCCTGATGACAGTGATGAATTCATTTTCATTAAATTGGCAAAATGGAAATATTGATTGATATGTGAATGGTAGGGCAATGGGGCTACTAGGCCAGTGATAATTACATGTTATGAGCTACAATTAGATGTTCATGATGGAAAGGGTAGGTGTATTTTATGGCCACATCACATACTCAAATGTTGTTTGGTATATAAGGATGAGTGAGTGTTATCCCTGGGTCGACTACTGCCAGTTACAAGGAATTTTAGATTGTCTGATCATGAATATCTTTTTATAAGACGAGACTGGTTGATGTGCACATAGCATAACATGTAATCCAAAATGATAAAGATCAATAGAATTCCCATGGCTCTTCAAAATCCCTTTACCTTTGTACTCATCAGGTCAGCGCTGTCCACAAAAGAACAGCAAAGACATGCCGATAATCCCAGTTGTGGGGCTTGGCAGTCGCGAACACGTATTGGTGAACACTGTATTCGTGTAATGATTTTATTCACGTCCGCGATTTTGTGTTTTGTACTTCACTTCAGGGTACTGATATTGGCGATATTATCTCCCAACTAGCTCCAGTGAAAGCCATGCCACAGGTGTGCAGTGAGCGGGAGACGCGGTAGCCCGTAGGCTCGCAACATGAACCGCTGACATGATGCATCGTAACTTTGTACTATCTGGGGATTTCCCGACCGAGTGTTTCTCATGTCAGTGTGATGGCTGCTGGGCAGAAACGTATTGACTAATGTTGATAATCATATTCCTGCTATTGTTAGAAGGATGTTCCTTCTGTGCAACAGATTTTTTCAACCTTTCTAGTAATAGGAACGGGGTCAATCGTTTATCAGTTGATGTTCGCATCTTTTAGCTCCTATTAGTTACCTAATGCGTGTTAATAATGAATGAAGACTTTTATTATACATTTCTGGGTCTGAACATCTTTTATGACTTCGTTACCTCTTGGATAAGTGGATAAGTCCCTCTATCGACCACATCTTGGTGCTTCGTGTGGCGGCAAGGCCCTCAGCAGGACGGATTAATAACCGCCGCCGTAAAATTATTCGCAAGACGAAACTATAAATCGAGCGGCCCAATTTTCTACCACCGACAGCGTGAATATGTATGGAATCCCCCGGTGTCCGGTCCTGGCAGTTATTTATGTGGTGAGTTATGTGGATGTGCGTTCCCTCAGTCATCCTACATGTACAACCTCATTGCTGCTGCTGCTTGTGTGTGTGTGTGGAGTACCCGGATGTCTGACGTGTCATCTCCATCGGATCTCCAGCAGCTCCTGAGCTGTTAATTGACACAACTGTTGCCGCGGCGGCACCTCCTTCTTCTGGTGTTTGCGTCGGTCAGTGAGAGGCAGCCTGATCTCAGCTGCATTGGTTCATTAACCGACTTTCCGGACCTGCTCTCCGTTCTCTGGAAGCTGCCAGGCAGCTGGAGGCTCCAACGGTCTGTGGACATCCGCTGCCACCGTGCGCTGCGCTGAGGTGTTGGCGCTTTGAAAAGATCTCCAACGCCGCCCTCCCTATCGTCATCAGCATCAAAGCAGACGGATCTTTGATGTCTGTACTGTGTCCTCTTCTTCACTCTCTAAGACTGTCAGCTTGAGGGATATCGTACGGTCCGGTATAAGGTGAGGCAAAAGTTTGTATACCGCACCACTTGATCCGATACTGTATGTCAAAAGATGGACAATCTTTGCAAGGAGAACTAGATTTTGCATAGTAGCAAAAAAATATCTACTTGGTGCATACATCAAAGGAAATGGCCAATGCCATGAAACAGAGCAATCAGCTTTCAACGTACTGAAATTAACTACTTGGCATTTAGCAGACAAAGGATTGGTCTGTATACGTAACTGTAGTATTATACCTCAATGTTGGACGGTACACTCGGTGAGATGTAATAATGGGAGTACGGTGTAGGATGGGTGCAAATAATAACTTTACAATGGTAGCCGACTGGGATGAAAGTGCAGAAAAGGAGGCCTCCTTACCGTATTGCTAGTACAGCATATTCCATTAGGTACCTTTACCTAGTAGCGTTCCAATGTCTGATTTCATTGCGCAGTTAGGTTTAAATTGATAGGATAAATTTGCTCCCTGTGGCACCTGTATTTGTAATGATTGATCATATGCAGGTATCACGCAGTTCTGTAGAAAGCGCGCTGCCAGCGGTAGCAAGAATATGGTTAGCTTTGCCGTCGTGAATGATCGTCAATTATAGGCTTTTATTCTAAGTGTGAAGGGATTGGGGGCTATGCTTTTTATGTTGTGTCACGCTTGTACCACGAGAGCAGAAAAAGTAGGAATACATCAAAACCATTATGTTATATATATTCGATGATTTGAGGCGCCAGAGTGGCCGGAACTGTGTATGCTTCTGAAATGCGATCGACACTCAATCGTTCAGAAAGGACTGTATTGGTGGTCCAGAGAACTTCCCATGGACTCAAAGTAAGCAACCATGTCGTTCTGCTATGTAGTATAGCAGCATAGACACCCAAAAGCCCCCGGTTGACTGCGATAATCAAAGAGAATATATTTTTTTGCCATCAGACGATACGCGGTATAAGTGTAATAGATATACTTGATCAATGCAGGAAAAGGAAACAGAGGCTTGCAAAACGCACGAAATCCAGGACCAGATAACACTCGGTAGTACGACTGATTATCTATGAATGGCCAGTCTGACAGCTTCATGGAAAATGCACGGGAACGCGTGTGAATTTGTTCTGGATGGGGAGTCACATTTGTCCCGCTACGCTTTCCCACTGGGTGACGGCGTATTTTCATGTCTGGTGTGTGTGTTGGTATATACAGGGCTGTACCGGTGCGTCCGATACATTTTTTTCGGTTACAGCAGTCTGCCCTTATTCGCTTTGTCGGAGAAGAAGTAGGGATACGGCTACAGCTTCAGTCAGTCAGGCACATATTGCCACGAGTCTGCTCGTTATTCCAGTCGAATGAGGAATGTTCACTGACTTGAAAATCATTGCATATACTGGCACATGTGACAAGCTGCTGTGCAGCCATGACATATTCTATGGATGAAAGAGTTGTGAAATGCACGATTCACTGCACGATATATTATATGTTACTGCTTTGTGTCGTGCTAGTCATACACTTCCAAGTGAAATATACCACAAATGGCGAGTAAGGTCCTGTGTTATTAACATCTTTGGAACAAAAGCTCGAACTCTTGTGAAAGTATTGTCAGCAACGACCGCTTCATTACCCACGCCGAGATACTTTAGTAGTAAATGGGCCCGAAGTCGCGAAAAATTATCACGGTCAAGGTTACGCCGTGGTTAGAATCGATTTTTCCAGTGTGCAATAAAGCAGGACACACCGAACCGGAGGGCGGGGTCACCTGGATCAACTGCGACATCCCCCGCGGTGGATTCAGGTGGAGGTGCTGTTTTTTTTCCTCGGGCATTTTCATTGGTTCTGTGTTATATATGCAGATCGTTATCAAGATCTAAGTCAAACGTCCTTTGTCACAGCCAAAAAAATGCCATATTCTCCTGAAGTTACAGGTACAACTATTCTAACTTAGGCCATGTATCAGTATTCAATATTTCATTCAACTATGAAATGAGTAACTTTTTGAGATAAACTATGTTGCTCCATGGAGGTACATCACAAGGCCTTGTGGCTGCTCGTTTCTCCAATCTTTGTGCGTGGATTCCCTGCCGTGCCCCAAATCGTGAACCTGCCCCTTCGCCAAGTATTGGTAAGTTTAGTATACATCCTACCTGCGAGCGCGGGAGAATTGCCAAACCATTGGAGCGGATCCAACCAGGATTTGCCTCCAGAACAACCTAATATAAAATTTCCCGCTCGGAGACTATTAACCCAAGCGTTAATGATGCATTTCCGTGAGCAAGGACAGACCTGTTGCTCATTCTCCTGTCAAAGATTAGATCTACCACCAACGCAGCCATAAAGAAGACAGGTTCAACATGCAATAACCATGTTTATTTATGTGTACCAATAAAGGAGTAGCAGGGTGTTATCATGGGGGCGTCTGAATATATGCCATGCAACATTAAAGTCATAATTCATCTATGGCTCTCTTAAACTGGCTGCATATATCCTTCGTTCGACGGTATTTAATCGCGAGTGAAAACACCGTCGCTGATGCCTTATCTGAGATTTCGAAGTTAACACACAGAAACATTTATCCTTCCCACACGGTACCACATCTACAAGTACACCCTTTGGGTTTTGACTCCCATACCACAACATAAAGAAATACTAGCCTTTTTTGCAAACCTGGGTCC